TTAACTTCTTTATAAAGTCTGAAGCACATCTAAACAAGGCTCTTTAATAGAAATAGTTGTACAATTAAGATTAAACATCAGATTATATTGTATTTTGTTATTTCTGTTACCTATTCATATTTTCTATTATAATTAATCCTTTCTTATATTTATTTCCTTCTCTTGGTATTATACTCTATAGTATAATATACTATAATATATACTCTATAGTATAATACTCTATAGTATAATATACTATAGTATATACTCTAGTACTATACTGTACTATAGTATATACTAGTACTATAATATACTATAGTATAATACTCTATAGTATAATATACTATAATAAATACTCTATAGAATAGGGTATGTCCCAAAGCAAGGAGAAAGGTCAAATAATTTTTTATTCAACATTCAGTGATAACTAATGCACAACAATATTTGTTCTATATATTCACTGCCAATTATTGTTTTGTAGTCCTTTGACATTATGAATTTTTTCTAAGTAATTAAGTACTCCTCTAAAACAATATGACAAAGTTAATGTAGGTATATATATTATAGTATTATGATATACCTAGTTTTTAACTAAATACACATTTGAAAGTTCATAAAATTAAAATTATTTAATTAAAGCATATGAACATTACAAAGTTTTAGATGTAAAATATGATATTTCTGAAGGTATCTTAATGATGTGTGATGATGATTTTATATATGAATGCAAGGACTTTTAAAAATAACTATATAATTAATATAATTACTGTTAGGTTGGTTGGGTGGATCAGCACTTACTCCTTTTCACCTTGTAATGTGTTGTAGAATGCAGAAAAAAATGATAATAAGGTGTTAACACTGGGGAAAACTGAGGTGGTGATTGCTCTTGCTCTTTACCTCAGGCTTAGTGTGGCCACCCAGGTTACCAAGATCAGTATTTTAACCCTTTTACGTACTGGTTTTATTCTCTGGGTTACAGAAATGTAGTGATAAGGTCCTAGATTGATTATTGCATTTTGTGTCAGATATTCCCTGTATAATAGATTGTACAGCTTGCTGTATCTATATTGTAAATATGTAAAATTTGTCTACTTTACTAATTCTGGATATTTAGGTTGTTCCTTATTTATAATTACAGATAATGTTATGAATGTCTTGGGGTGGAATTGCTGGGTCATAAAATAGGTATGCATTTAGTTCAGTTAGACACTATCAATATTTCCAAAGTAATTGTATAATTTTATACTCATATCAACTATGTGAGAGAGTTCTAATTGCTCCCAATTCCCACTGGTATGGAATATTACTTGCTATTTTCATTTTAGCGAGCCACTCTGGGATGTGTGGTGGTATTTAGTTGTGCAGTGTTCTGATTACTAATGATACTGAGAATATTTCATATGTCCATTAGTGATAAATGGTTTTTTAAAACAAAATTTAACTTTTATTTTGAGACATTCACATGGAGTTGTAAGAAGTAATAAGGATTCCATGAATTTTCATATACAGTTTCTGTTAGTGATACCATCTTGCAAAATAAAAGAACAATATTACAACAAAAATACTGCCTTTAATGCAGTTTAGACACGAAACATTACTATTATGGAAAAGAGCCCTGATTTTTCCCTTTTATAGACATATTCACTTTCTTGCTACTTTTCTTAATTCCTAAATTATTCTTGATTTCAAGAATGTTATGTAAATGGAATCATCTGGTATGTCATTATTTGGGATTAACTTTTTTCACTCAGCATAATTCTCTGGAAATTCATCTAGGCTGTTTCATATGTCACTAGTTTTTTTTATCTTACTCTTTTAAAGGAGCACATCTTAGTAGTATGCTTGCAATGCTTAATGAATACATATGTGGAGTAATTGGTACATACGTATAGCATCTTCTATTTCCCCTTTCCCTTCCCTCTCTTTCATCTTCCTTCATTTCCAGATCCATTCCCATACCTACAAAGTCTTATCTTTCTCTTTCCTATCTGTCATTTATTTTGCTCCTTCAGTTATTTGTACTTTGGTTTCACAAATAAGAGAAACCATGTAATATTTTTGCTTGTATATTTGATTTATTTCAGTCAGCATTATAATCTCAAGTGTGTTTACTCAAACTTATTCTTGTTTATGAATAAGGAGGACTACATTGTGTATATACATTGTCTTTACCCCTTCATCTTTTCGTGGGCATATAGGCTGCTTTCAGATTTAGATATGAGTTGCACTGCACTTCGTGTATTGCTGTAATATGATGTATTTAACTTTTTCAGGAAGAGATGTACATAGAAGAGGTGTAGAGGTGTACATGGGATGTCTGTGTTTGTTTTTTTGAGGAGTTTCCGTAGCAATTTTCATAATGATTCTACTAGTTTACATTCCTACCACTAATGTGGAAAGGTTTCATTTTTTTTCCCCATAGCTGTTACATTCTAAATCCCGAAGATACTAGGAGCTAATGGGATAGATGTGAGGACCAGGGAGAATTTAAAAGTAAGAACATCTTATTCCTAGGAATATGTTGTTCTACTTGAAGTAGGCAACACAGAAGTAAAATCATAATTAGGAAATACAGTGAGTTGTACTTTGGATGTGTTGATTGTTTTGGTGCTTATAGAACATCTCTGTTGACAGACCGAATAGACATTTGAAATACGAATTTAGTGTTTGGGGGACGTTTAGAAATTTGGGAATTTCTGTATTCAGATGATGAATGATGCTGTGAAATAGATTGCTTTTGTAGAAAAAGTACAGATCTGATGACAAACTTTATAAAGGAAGCAGGATTTAAAAATGTAGTAAGAGAATGAAAAGAGTGCAGTTACAAAAACCATAGAAACGTCTCTCCTCAAACTTTCGCTTGTCAGGATCTGTTTCAGAAAGTTCAGTAAATCTTCCTGTCATCACCACCTGCCCTTTTCCCATTTCATTTTAGTCAATCCCTATGACTAAATGTGTGTTTCGAAGCAGTTTTTTCTTTCTATAGGTTAACATTTGCCAAACTGCCATATTGTGCTTTCTTATTTGTGTTTTTCCATTATTAAGATCCTATTCTCCTTGCCAGGTGTAGTGGCATATACCTGTAATCCCAGCACTCAGGTTGAGGCAGGAGTTTGAGCCAGCCTGTTCTACATAGTGAAACTCAAAAACCTGAAGATTTGGCTTCATAATTGAAGCCAAAGATCAGGTCTTATTCATCATTCTTTTTCCTGTGTATTACAGTTGAATTGAAATGACATGGTCCATTTCAGAGACTTCGAGGTGGAGAAGAATTTAGACAAGGCTGTTACATTTGATTGCTGAATTTTTAGGGACCTTATCCTGTCTAGAAAGATTGGGAGTGAATGGAAAGAGTTTTAAAGTCTTCCTCTACTTGTCAGTTTTGGAGTTTGTTATGCAGTGGTACCTCGGTTTATGAGCTTAATTCTTTTCGATTCTGATGATAGAATTTGTTCCAGTAGCGTGGAAAAAATTAAGTTCATGAATCGAGGTACCTCTGTACCTGAGACATCATTCCCTAATTGTTACTCTAACCTTGGCTCCATTGATAACTGTTTCATCATGGTAAAAAATATTTTTACATGATCCATAAGGATCCTGTTGTTCATCCAAATCAAGATCGTATTCCATTTTCCATGAAACTTCTGCCTAACCATATGTTCAACACTGTTAAAATACCATGACACTATGTATCGTTACTAATTTTTTAATTATTCTTAAATATCTGTAATTTTTCTTAAATTCTTAAATATGATTCTGGTCAAGAATTTGTTCCAGAATTGTGGAAAACATTAAGTTCATGAACCAAGGTATCACTGTACCTGCTTCTTCAGTCCCTAATTATGTTATTGTTATTATTATTATTTGGTACCAGGATTCGAACTCATGACCTTGTGCTCGCCAGGCAAGCGCTTACACCGCTGAGCTAAGTTCCTGGCCCTAATTATGTTATGTTAACCTTGGCTCTTTTGATAACTGTTTCATCATGGTACAAAAATCTTATTACCTGTTTCCTTTAAAGATTCTACTGTTCATCCAAATCAAGATCCTATCCCCCTTTTCCATGAAACTTTTGCCTAAACCCTAAATTAAACACTGTTTAACTTCCATGACACTATGTATCATGTTAATACTTCATTATTCTTAAATATCTTGAGCATATTAAAGTTTTGTTTTATTTCTTATAATATTAATAATGTGCTTAATAAATAATGAGATATCATGTCTTGATTTTTACTTAATTAAATTATGTCAACTTTCTGGATTTTGTTTTAGTCTGGAGGTTCACCTTTAAATTTAATCTAGATGTCCACAAAAATATTTTTCAATTGAAATTTAAAAACTAAGTCACGGACTTACTTAGATTTTTTTTTCTTTTCTTTTTAAGTAAAAGATGCCTAGCATAGACTTTTATGTTCTGTTATCTAAGAATGTGTTTCTGTTTCTGTGTAGCGCATGTTTACCTGTATTATTATTATTATTATTATTAATTCTTAATAATGTTTTTTTTCTTACATTTTCCCCCCCAAGGACTCTACAAGTTAATAAATAATTTTATTTAGTTTTTTTTTTTATCTCACAGTAGTTGTGTTTGAATAATTGAAATTAAAAAAAATTTTGTTGTTTTTATCACTGAGATTCTCCAGTAATGGTAGCCTTATAAAATCTATGATGTAGGTTTATTTGAATTAAAACTTTTTTCCATTTAAAATCATATTTCATTTTTTAGTTTAAAATTTTTAAGGTATCACAAATACAAAGTTACAAAATATAAAATTACAGTGTGGTCATATGATGAGAAAGCTCCCATGTTTTACCTTTTTTCCTTGCATATTTTAGCTTCAGTAAATTGAAGTACCTTATTTTCTGACCTGGAAATTGTATTTTTCTACAGGAGAAAGTAAAATGTTGTTTTTACTTTTATTTTACAACATATGCTTTTATTCAGTAGTTGCCATATAAGAACTAAATGAAGTAGAAACATTTGGTTGGATTAAACAAAAAAACCTTTCTCTTTCCAGATTGCTGCAATTCTCCGGAAACGAAAAATTGACTATTATTTATACAAACTACTCCCTGAGATCCTACAATCTGCTTCATTTCTGACTGCTAATGGGGCCTTCTATATTACTTTCTTTTGCCTTTTAAGGTTGGTACTTATAATAACCACTAGACATTAATATAAATTCTTTTGTTAAAATGGAAACAAACAGATATTTACTTAATTGTTGTGAGGGCTGGGGTTCACTGCTAGTATTTTTGTTTTGATTCTGTGAAATGGTACTCATTTCAAAGAAAGTATAAAATCAGGGCTGTGGGCCCCTCTACCTCAAGATGTCATATAAATTTCAAATTATTGATATGATTATATAGCAATTAATATATTTTCTAAGACCTGCTGTATTTCTGAAGTTGTGGTCAGGATTTCTTGCTTTTCAATTTTATAGTCAAAAATTCAAAGCACCTCTGGCAAAGGACTGTGTGCAGTGAACGAAACTCAAAAGGACTATAAAGTACATGTATTTATGTATAAAACAAATGTAGTTAGAGGTATTCCTACTGAATTGAAACATATGGTTCTGATTCAATCTCGTATTCATTATCTATGCCACTTTTTACACATTCTAGGTAAAGATAGGATTAAGTCTTGGAGTGTTGTGAGAAACCCATCGTATTTATTATATACTTACGTTTTGTCTTTTTCCAGTCATTGTTGAAAATAGCATCAAAATAAATTATTTTTAAAATAATGTCAAATTAAAATATTCATTTCACATTGTCTTCATATTTGTTACAGTAGTTATATATAGTATTTAAGCTACAATTAATCGTGTAATTTAAAAATATATTTTATATACTTTTTTGCTAACAACACTAATATTTATAAGCTTTTAATGTCTAAAAAATAGCTGATCAGGTTCTATACTATTGAATATAATTATAATGAAGTTGACTTTTGTAAGTAATTGATTTTATCATGTAGTCTCAAAAAGTTTCTAACACAATAAAATTCTAAAAGTAAGTCTACAGATAATATGGTTTAAAAATTGTGCTAAGTATAAATTGCTATTGTGTAGTATATTTCTTTATATTCTGTGAACCTCTTTGTTAATTGTAGAGGAATAAAATACTTATAATTAGACAATGTCAGTGTCTTCCTATTACTGATTCAATGAATCGTTTTCCTTTATTTCATACTCAATAACTTGTTCTTTTTGGCTTTTATCCTGGAGAGAAAACTAACTCCAGTCTTAAGGCAAAAAATATCCACAATATTTTTCCTAATTATTTTAAATCTAAACTTCAATTAAAGAGAGATCGTTGTGTGTCTCTGATTTTTCTGTTTCCCTTCTCCCTTTCTTCCTTTGCTCTCCTGTTGTGCCTAATTTAGCAATTGATCATAACTTTTTATAACTTTCACATGCTATTTCTTCTCCTTTTCTCAGGAATATATTATTTGGAAAGAAAAAGTCTTAGCAGCTACTGTTTTTTTCTTTTTAAAACCCAACAGCTTATGATTATTTGTAATGTCGGAACACTCTAGATTTCTACTTTTAAGTGACATGTTCTACTAAATGAAAAATGATGCATATTTAAAACTAATGTTTTGGTGTTTGGTGTTGGTTTATTTAAAGTACCAAATACTTTAAATGCTATAAGAAAAACGTTGTCAAGGATTTTAGAAGCAAAGAAGGAAAAATATTTGTTGATAGCAGATGTTAAAAATAGTAATGATAGTGATAAAATAATCATTATAATAGCAGCTAAAACTTTCTGAGTACTTACAATGTGCCATGGATGATACTGGAGAGAGATGAGTTTGATTTTAGACACATTGAATTTAAAGTGTGATGTCTGGATAGAGGGTGGCCTGAGAGAGGCACTTTTATTTGCAATCACTGTAATGACCAACAAAGAATTTCATACAAAATTCCAAACTTGAATTTCAGGAAGATACTTGGGAAATTTTACTCATGGACTCCTGGCTTTGGTGCCGCCTTACCAGCATCTTACATGGCCATTCTAATTGAAAGGAAAAGCAGGTAAAAATTTATATGTCTACATATTTAATAAAACTGGTTACCTGTCCCTCATTGAAACTAGACTTTTTGTGTTTGTGTGTGTGTGTGTGTGTGTGATTGTGCATATCACTTACTGTAGTCCAAGGATGAGAAATATTTCCAGAAATCTTTGTCATTTCTGCAGATTTTATCTAACATTTTTATGATATTAGTTATATGTATTAAATCTAAAAATATAAAGATATTAGAGACTGATAGTACTTATCATGGGTGAACTAAAACATGCCATGTGCGAATTCTTTTCCATAAAAAAAGCTCTTTTCTATAACTATAATAACATTATGTCTAAGAAATTAATAGCATATCTATATTATCATCTAGATCTGTACTTTGCCTCAGGCCAGTTGACTTTTTTTTGCAGTTACTATTTTTAAAGCATCATGTCATTAAAAAATTCAGGTCATCAACTTGAAATTTTGCTTGTGAATGTAACTTCTACAGCATGTTGTAAAATTACATACAGTTCAGATAAGCAGTTCAAGTTAAATCTTTTGCAAGAATATTCGTCATTTAATGAATAATAATTTTTATTGTTGAGAAATTATCTACCTTTGTTCTAGAGATTCAAAATGGGATAATGTATTCAAATCTTAGTTTATAAAGGTGCTTATTATAGTTATAGTCCCCCCGTAAGAATATGAATAAGCCTTATGAGATACCTACTATTTAAACTACTTGAAGCTATTCTTAATGTACTCCAGTACATTAAGTACTATATATTATTATTATCTAAATCTTCTCTCTGTTGGATTTGTCATGATACTTTTAGGCTATTAGAATTCATGAATTCAAAGATCTGGTAGATGTTATGACTTCTGCAGAGTCTAGTTAATAATGTCAAAACGTAGATTTACTCCATCTGAAGAGCATGGTAAATAAATGTGGATTCTGTATCTATACTGCTTGGTGTGGAGCTTGGCTATGCCACTTACTGTGTTACCCTGTGGCTTATTGCTTAGCTGAAAAGTGGAAATAACTATCTGTTATGTTTTCAAGTTGTTCAGATAATTGAATTAATATATATGTTAAAGAAACATAGAACAGTGCTTGGGCTATAGTAATATTATCTCTATATTAAGTATTGTTGCTTTTTGCCCATAAGTAATGAGAGAGAGAAAGAATGATAATTATAATTTCCTGATCAACTACAGATAATATGGTTTAAAAATTGTGCTAAATATAAATTGCTATTGTGAAGTATATTTTAGTGGTTTTGAAAATACATGTTCAAAAAATATACTATTTATGTGTGGATGTTTAAAGATCCTTACGTTTGGCATGGTTTACTTATTTTTAGCACTTGAATAATAGGAAAACATTTTTATAGTAAAGTGTCTGCTTTATAACAAAAATTATTGAAATGTACGTCTTTCTAACCATCAGCTAGAATCAAAAGTTGTTAATATTTTGCCATTTTTACTTTATTTGTATGAGAATGTATTTGTATATATGGTAAGTATATTAGTATATTTGTGTGTACCATGTGGAAGTATTTGTGGACATCATGACACACTGTACTTCTAAATACTAGAGCACGCATCTTTTTTTTTTTTGTCTTTTTCGTTTTTATCGGTACCAGGGATAGAACTCACGACTGCCTGCTTGCAAGGCAGGCGCTTATGCCGCTGAGCTAAATCCCCATCCCCCTAGAGCACGCATCTTATAAAATAAGGCTGTTTTCCTGTACAGCTACATTACCATTATCATATATAAGATAATTAACATTCCTTAATACCATCCATTATATACTGGCCTAAAGTGACTTTTTTTGAACTAGAATGCAGTCAAAGCTTATGTATGTTCCTATATTTTTAATATTTTCTTTTAATCCAGGAGAATCACCTCAACTTGTTTTCAGTATTGACTTGTCCCGTGTAACACATTTCTAGTTTTTTCTCAATTGTTTTCTTATGGAATTTCGTAATTGGCTCTTTTACCTAGAATATTTCTGTAAACTTAAAACTTGTCCCAAAGGTTTGATTATTTTAAAATTAAATATTCATGGCAAGAATATACTTCATATATGATGTTGAGACCATCAAGAGAGCCGTTTCTTGATGATTTCATTTGGAATTTGTGAAGATTGTGATTACCAGATCTTTCTAATAAATTTATTACTTGTGGTGAATTAGATAATGGGTTTATTGTAATAAGCTTCACTTTACAAAATATGCAATTTTCTTCCTTTGTCTTTGTTCTGGAACAATTTAAGTAATGATAAACTTCCTGGCCTGTGAATATTTTGCTCAATAAAATCTGTGCATGATGATTCTGAAGGTGGTAGTTCTAAGAAGGTAGCAGTTTTTTTCTTTGGAAGTTACCCTGTTGAAACTTTCAGCTCACACAAGAAAGAATTTTAGTAACTTTCTCTAAGAACTAGAAAGTTATTTTTTAAAAGTTACTTATGTTACAAAAATTATTCATTTTAAAAGATTTTTATACTTATGTGGAATTGAGCAAAATTTATGAATTGACTGAATTACTTGTTTTCTGTATTTATTTCTCAGCTTGTTTATGTAATTTTGCCATTTTCTTTTTGCCCAGTGTGTTTTATGAGTCTCCTAACCCTAGGTTTTCTTTTCTTTTCATTTTGGAGATGCTAGTAATCAAAACAGGCACTGGTGATCAAACACAGGGCCTTGCCATGTACTAGGTTGTGCTGTACTGAGCTATACACAAAACCTTTTATCTTTTCTTTTTTTTTAATTCTAATTCACTTTTTGTTTTTATTTTTTCTTTTGCTTTCTTTTGGTTAATTTGCTTTCTTTATAACTCTTCTAGTTTGATGTTTATAATTTGTGATGTATTGGGTTTACCGACATAAGCCTCAGTTGATTATGACATTAGTACTTGTTAGATTAACCTACTCATTTTGTATATGTTTATCCTGCTTGGATATCTGTGTTATATTCAGTTTTTAAATGCACTTGTGTGTATGTTTGTGTAATTCTGTGTAGTTCATCCTCGTGTTTACATTTAACCACCACCACCATCTGTATGTGAAATTATTTTGTAACCACAAAGAGTTTCCCTTGTACTATTCTTTTCTTTCAATTTCTGTCTCCCAATATGACTAATCTGCTTTCTGCTTGTATGTTTATAGCATTTTGAAGAATTGAGAAAGTTATATAAATGAAAATGTGGAAGGCATTCCTGTACCTTTAGTCATAGGCTTTTACTTTTTTCGTACCGCCTCACCATCATGTGCTTGCCAGGCAGGTGCTTGTGTCACTGAGCTAACTCCCTGGCCCATAGGCTTTCATTTTTTATTTCCTTTTTTTAATTAAGTGTCATGCTGTTAAGATGTTTCAAGGTGTTGTTATTTGTATGTCACCTAGTGTTTTCTTTTTATTTGAGTGGTATTTTATTACAGACATATACCAGAGTTTGTTTTAAGCACTCACCCTTTTAAGGATCGTTTATCAGGTTCTGTCCTAGATCCCCAATCTCCCAAACAAGTGTATGGCAGAGGTTAAATAAAAAGAGACAAATTGTATGATTTTTTAGGGCTCCAGGAGGGTCAGAACGCTTTAATTAAGCTCGAGGCTTCAAGGGTAAAGACCAAGGATTCTCTGGATCAGTTCACTTATATTAGGAGCAAGGACAAAGGGCGGAGAAACTGAGGAAAGTGCAGGCAATGAGCAGGACCTTTGGAGTCACTTCAAGGACATCTCCAACTAATGAATCAAGTCAGTTTAGTAGCATTGTCTTTATCATGAAGACATGGTAGAAGTGAGACTGTAGGAGTAATTTTTGCAGCTGTAGTCTCTACCTTGTTAATTGGGGTTGGAGCCAGAGTGTCCGCAGTTGTGGCCTTATCTTGCCTTTTGAGGTATCTCTGGCCTCACAGGCCACTACAGGCCTCAGCCAGGACCAGTGATTCATAGAGGTTCATTTACTATGAATCAGCTCCCATCGCCTAGGCCTAGGACAGACTCACAGATAAACATAGAAAGCAAATTAGTAAAATTTAAATCCTGCTTAGAGCCACTTTGTCGTGGTGTCCAACAGATGTTTATGGTGTTTCCATTTTTTTCTGTGCTGTTTGTTATTCCTAATTCATGGTTATAAATAATTTTGCTTTGAACATTTGTGTCCACACTTTTGTGAGGACATAATTCCATGCAGTTGTGAAATTGCTGACTTATATGGTAACCCTATAACCTTTTGAGAAAAATGCCAAATCATTTATTGAATACTTGTAGATTTTCCATTGTCTCTAGCTTCTATGAAGGGTCCTGTTTCTACAGTTTCTGTCAGGCCCTTGTTATTATATATTTTTCTGATTGTTGTCGGTTTTGGTGAGTGTGAAGTGGTATCTCATTGTGGCTTCAATTTGCATTTTTCAGATGACTAATGATTTTGATCATATTTTCTTGTACTTTTGAACCATTTGTATATTTTTTGGAGAAATGTCTTTTCAGATGCTGTGCTGATTTTTATTTGTTTCTTTTTTGTTTTTTGAGACAGGGTTTCACTATGTATTCCAGGCTGGCCTTGAACTCACTGTGTAGCCCAGGCTGGCCTCGAACTCACAGCGCTCCTCCTGCCTCTCTCTCCTGAGTGCCAGGATCACAGGCATGTGCCACCATGCTCAGCTTATGCAGATTTTTAAATTGGGTCATTTATCTTTTAATTATTAGTTGTAAATGTATTTAGATATTATAGATGTAAGCTCCTTATCTGGCATATAATTTGCAAATGTTTTTTCAAGTTCAGTGTGTTTCTCTTTTACTTTCTTGATCATCTTTCAAAGCACAAAAATTTTTAATTTAGTTGAAGTCTGGCTTGGTTGATTGTGTTTTTGGTGTCATGTTTAAGAAATCATTACCAACACAAAGAATTACCCTTATTTTTCTTTTAAAAGTTTTATAGTTTTAATTCATCTGTGTAGATATTTCATCTGAGTTAAGTTTTGAAGTGTGATATGAGAAAGTGGAGTACTCTTTAAAATTCACATA